AATAAACTAATGCAAAACAGACTGAACTCTTTCCATATATCTGAGCATGTATCTTTCATTAATATGGTTCAATCACTTCAACCAGGGGACACTCGATCCATTACAGCATTTACAGGAAATAAACTGATGAGTATGTGTTAGTCAATACTAACAATAATTCATTAATTTGGGACTCGTGTACTCATAGAGCAATCTTTCCTATGAAATATCTGCTATATCAGAGAATGCAAACACTGCTATATATTTACAAATATCAGCCCTACAAATAATTTCAAATGTTTACCAGCATTACCATTCATAGCGTAAATGAATCCAAGATAAACTGTTTAAAAGGATCTCAACATACAATGAAGAACTGATTTTACATATTTCTTAGCAAAAGACTTCAATACTCCAAAAACTAAGACAAATGCATTGCAAAACATGTTCACAACAATAATTTGGCAGCAGCTGCTCTAAAGAATGCAGAGGATCCAAATCAACTCTCCCATAAGAAGTCCAATGACACATATTAAAGGACTGTTTGGAGTGCTATATTAAGAAATAGCTTATGTTGATGGCAATTTGTGAATAAAATTGTGAAGAGCTGCCAGCTGGATATATTTATGAAATATACCTAACCACTAAAGGAATGCATTTTCTCTAGAAGCATACATATTTATGTATGACTACCAAACTGTAGTTGTGGCCCTTACTGATGAGTTCTGTTTAAAAATTGTTAAGGGAAACCAAATCTTATTGATCTCATTAGACTTTTGGGTGGCATGGCAACTCTAAGTGTGTTGTGCCTCCTCCTCAGTGTTGCATGCTTTGTCTTAAAAGAAAAGCATATAAAATATGGTAACAATGCTACAAGTAGACCCCTTAAGAAACCATCTTGACAAGCTCCTGCAGGTCTCATCAAAATGGATGGATGGAAGAATAGAGAAATGTCACTGGGGTTCATCATTGTGCTCTACCTCATTCATCCAACCTAAGTTCTGCAGTCCTAAAAGTGCTTGTTGGTAGATCAGGATTAAAAATACTGACATGGCAATAAACTAAATATTAGATATAAATAATAGATACCAAGCAATGTCAGAGTAATAATGATGACTGCATGCTTTAGTTGTGGATTGCCTTGAGGAACCCTGGTTTTCAATGCTATTAGCATGATGACTTGTGGTTTTATCTGGGTGGTTTCCTAAAAATATGTAAAAGATTTCAAATTGAATTATTCCAAATTCAAAGCACCATTTTGGATAGAAAATTGGGGTGTTTCAATTGCTTAAGAAATATCCCGTGTCCATATCATAGTGGTTTAAACACTATGCATATAGAACATTCCTATAACAGCTTGTTCTATACTCATAATAGCCATTTCATACTTGAAATGTGATTTCTGATTTCAAAATGGTTCAACTTTGAAGCATTTTGCACATCCCTAAATCTTCAATACTCTTATAAAACAAGATGCTAGGAAACCACACAAAAATGAATTCATGTAAGATTATAATTGATACATTATTCTGTACTAAATGCATTCAAAGACTGGACAACTAGCTGTATGGGATATTTTAGCTTAGACTTCCATAATGAGTATTGGTTGTCTAGACAATTAAATGTCTACCTTCAGTTATATGACAATTGTTTGAAATGAAATGAGGACAGAAAAATTGATAAAATTCAGAACTCATCATAAACCTTTGATTTTGTATTTAATAATAAGCCTCCTAGAAACATCGAGTCTTGCTCCTAAACATTTAGAAGATTAGGCTGTCAACATCAAATAATTTGAGCTCAGCATAGTCTATCTGGAAATTCTTATAAAGATCCAAAATATCAACAGACTACAGCTTTTTGTTACAGCTTTATATAGGTAGCCCTCAACTTAGAACCATTGTTTAGTGCAGTGGTTCTCAACCTTTTTAATGCTGCGACCCCCCAACCGGTCGTAAGTCGAGGATTACTCAACCAGTCGTAAGTCGAGGACCACTCAACTGGTGCAGCACCATTTGCAGAATGGGACTTTTGGCGGGCTCAGCAGGGCAGAGACAGCCTGGACAATTCCTATTGGCTTTTGAAAGCCAATAGAATTAGACTCTATTCAAGAGAGTCTATTCCAGTGGTTCTCAACCTTTCTAATGCCGTGACCCCATAATACAGTTCCCCATGTTGTGGTGACCCCCAAGTGGGTGTGGCCACCAATAAGAGGGAGTAGGACAGCTAGGGAAAAGGGAAAAAAATGGCGGACAGCTTGGGCTGGCGACCCCCGTGAAGTGGTCGTTCGACCCCAAATGGGGTCCCGACCCATAGGTTGAGAACCACTGGTCTATTCTATTGGCTTTCAAAAGCCAATAGAATGAAAGGGAGTAGCACAGCTAAGGAAAAGGGGAAAAAATGGCGGACTGCGTTGTTTGGCGACCCCTGTGAAATGGTCGTTCGACCCCAAATGGGGTCCCGATCCACAGGTTGAGAACCACTGGTTTAGTGACTATTTGAAATTACACAGGCACTGAAAAAAGTGACTTATGACCAGTTTTCACACTTGTAACCAGTGCAGCATTCCTTTAGTATGTGATTAGAATTTGGATGCTTGGCAACTGACATGTATTTATGATGACTGCAGTGTGATTACCTTTGGCGACCTTCTGACAAGCAAAGTCAATGGGGAAGCCAGATTCACTTAACAACCCTGTTGCTTGCTAACTTAATAACTGCAGTGATTCACTTAGCAACTATAACAAGAAAAGTCATATAATTGGGCAAAACTCACTAAACCACTTCTTGCTTAGCAACAGAAATTTTGGGAATATGGATGCATATGTAGAAGATTTGAAAAATAACTGGCCCATGTGCAGAATTTTTTTTCTGACAATCCATCAAAATTCAGGTATAAACATTTTTTAAAAATATTATTAAAAAATTATGTTAGTTTTGGATACCATGTCAATAAAAGGGCAAATAGGATGAGACACATATGATTTTACACGAAGGGAAAGCATGGTACTGCATATTTGTCTTTGGTCTTCAGGATTACATGAAAGGAAATAGAGCTTTACAAGAGAATACTACCTTTTAATTAGCAGATAACAACTATAACATAATCCAATATAAATATTGTAAAATAATATCCAAAATGTCAGTTTTACTCAGCCCCCACAAATCAGAGAAATCTTCCATCACTTTACTTCCATCTCTTATGTCATACAGGGTCCCCATAAATTAGTTCCAAGGTTCACTTAAAGAATCAACTGTTTTCCTAATAAATACTCGCCTAAACCAAAATTTAGAATTAGTTGCCCAAACAAGGATTCTTGTAAACATTCTAAATGTTTTTTTTTTAAATAGTTGAGTTCCTTTACAAAACAGGTTATCACTTCCCATAGAGTAGTACTTCACAAGTCACTGAGCTACTTTCCTGCAACATATTTCAGAGTGTAACATGAATATAAGCAAAATAAATCCAATTAATACATTCAGGAAAATAATTAAATGGACATGATTTTGAGTCTTCCCATTTCACACAATACAGTAATTTAGGTATGAAGATGAACATGACTGTTCCAGGCAATATTGCTGTTTCCATTATTATAAATCAACTGAAGGCCACTGAAGAAAGATTCTCAATGTACTCCAGATTTCAGTTATAATTACTTATCAATCGAATGGATTTTACACACCAATATCTTATACAATGATTTTTCTTATTATAAATTATTAGTCTTCATGATCAAGGTATCTCCCCTGCCAGGTAAGTATAAATTATTAGTCTTCTTATATAGAAATATTTGAAATATATTTATTTCACCTATTCAAGAGCCTTAAGAATGTTTTATTTCATTTACAAAAAAAGACAATTTGAGCATATACCTTTAGAAAATTAGCCTGTGTATACTTATATAAATAACATTGCTCCCTAAGGCATCCTGAACAAAAATCTACAGATAGATAAATTTTAAGACTAATACTTTCTATTCAATATTTAAAAGTAATGGGACATGTAATTCAACATTATCTGGTATCCAAACACAAGATGATGCTCAAAATTACTGAAAGGATACCAATCCACAAAGAACTATTTTAACTTTTACAAAAAACAGTGTTCTACAGAAAGTATACTTTGTCATTTTCTATTAGGCCTTAAATGACCTCTTCACTTTTTAGTACAGTACTTATCCTTTTTTGTATACTACATTTACATTATCGTCTACCTATGCATAGGGTTAGGATTGCAAGGAAAGATTTAACTTAATTAGCCTTCAGATTGAGTAAACAACATATACTTTTACAGTGAAGAGTAAATGTAGCAAAACATGTGTTTTGCACACCACTTCCTCCCTGAAGAGGGAGGGTGCAAAGAACAGGAAAAGTATCCTTTTGATAATAAAGAAACCACAAGAAAGCTAAGCAGACATCAGTAAATTCCTGTTTTTAGAAACAGGGCTATTTTCCATTTGAATCAGAGGAAAATATGCTGCACTTTTATCAAATGTAAGCCCAAAACAAAAAAAACATCAAGAAACGAGGAGTGGTAGAAATATTTTTAGTGTCTCTTTAAAATGCTGTTAATTACAAAATTGAGGCATAATTCTACATATTACAGCCCTCAGTAATCATTAAAGTGATCACTTTATTGCTTTATTAAGTGAAAAGCAAGATGACATTCTAGGTAACTGCAAATATGCCAACCCTGTACAATAACCATGCCTCTAAACTTCACACACCAATGATTTCAATAGAAAGTAAAATGTAAAAACAGTATGTATTATTTAGTTGCAAGTTAAGCAACATCTCACAGATATATATATATCCCAAAAATATATGTAATGTTTAGCTACATTGTTACATCAGGATGTTTGCATACTAAGCATAAGCTATTTCATTTTTTAAATTGAAAAATTTTAAAATATATTGCTCTTGACTTACATATATAACTTAGCATGAATATCTCATTAATATAACTTAAACTATTAAAATATATTATTTATATCTAGAGTTTGTTGAAGAGCCTCTCTTACCACAATTGCATTAGAAGAATGCACCAATGGCTTCAGTTCATTCAGGTCGTTTTCAGCCTACAAAATGTAATGTTAAAAACAGTTAAGAGAAATAAAGAAGGTAAACCAAAGTTGGTGAAATATACTGTATTATCTATAAATTAATAACCTAGACTTTTTTGTTTACTCAGAATTAAGCCTCATTGTAATGAACAGATTGGCTTTACTTTTAAGATACTATGCATAAGGTTGCAATTAATGTTACAATTAGGTAACCTTATGCTTCTTTTATTACCTTATCCCATTCTCCTTCCATGACATGATTGCGGAATTTGGTGGCAGAAGGGTGTTCTAAACGACATCCTGACTCTTGCATGAGAAGATCAACAGTCTGGCTGTGAGAGAGAGGCATAGTGTTCTTAAAAAGTTGACCAGTCTTTATTCTTATTCTTACAGATAAGCCATCCAGTGTAGCCTTAGTCCAACATATTTTAAAAATGTAACAAAAAATGCCTGGGCTTTCTCAATACATTCTAACAAATATGACATATTTTTCTACTATTGTCATGATAAAAAAAATATTTTCTGTCAGGAAATACTTTACTTAATAATCCATAAACTTACATTATTAGTTCCCCAATTATTTAAAATGAAAAGTGCTATTTTCCCTGTGTTAAACTCTATAACTATCAAAAAGTTTGCCTCTTACTATAAACTTAACTTGTGTCAATCAAGTTTATTCTGTGTTCTAAGTTAATATCAGCTCATTCCTGCAGTGGTTCAAGTTTTCACCTTATAAAGACCTTAGTTTTCCAAGGATACACTATCCATATATTCTCAACATTAAACCAGTTGCTATTATATTACACTACTCTCAGGTTTGTTTTAGTAATTCAAATTACTGATGAACCATGTTTATTTGCTTTTCACCCTTCCCCCATTCCAGTGCATGCCTATTACTCAGCTCAAAGTACTGCAGTGCTGCAAGCTACATAAGAGTCAACATAGCTGACATTAATTTTAAGTACATTCCAAGGGGGTTAGACATAGGTATATTCAATAGGTAATACTATCAATCTACAGTTTAAAATGTTAGTTTAAAATTATAGAACATCTGTATGTGTAGGCTGTTTTGCTGTAATCTAAAACACTTCTGTATTAGACCCATCTGAAAAATGTTCATACACTATTGTATTTAAATGCTAGTTTACCAATATAATCTCTGTATTTTACTTGTCTTTAAATAAAGTGCTGTTGGGTCTCTCAGAAATTTTACCGGTTCTCTTAAAATGAAATTCACATTGGACTAGGCCTGAAAAATAGGCCCTGTTGTCTCACTGCCTTCAACTCTACATTCACTGTTTTTACTTATCCCTCACATTTCTGTCTTTGGTATTAAATTGTAACATACTAATTTTGAATAAACATTCTCTCCATTGGAGAAGTATAAATCAACATACAAAATGTTGGCTTCCCCCCCCCAGGTATATAATTGATCTTAATATAAACAAGTCTGTCAGAGTTATTGTTCTTGTCAGAGTTATTGTTCTCATCAACACAAACCTAGATCCATATTCTCGCCAAACAATCATCCGATGTTGCTTCCTACAAAAACAGATATTAACAAGAGGAATATCATCCACCTCCTCTCAAAATCTCCCTCCCCCTTCCCAAAGGCAACGCGAGGAAAGGGGCTGGAAGTACAACATGGTGGGCAAAGTCATCCTCCGGACGATCTCCCCCCACATATTCCTCAGGTTTATTTGGGAGCCGGGATGCATTGCAACTCATAGTCGCCCCACTTACTTGAGTCCCAAACCGTGGAGGTGCTGCCCGATGAGCCGGATCACGTCCTCATCGGATTGCGAAAGTCGCTTCTTCTTCTTCAGGGCGCTGCTGCCGACGCCGCTACCTCCCCCCAGCTCAAGCGCAGACCCGCCGGGGGCCGAGACCCCATTATTGACACTCGGTCCGCCGCCACCGTCGCCGTTGTTGGCCGACGGCAGCAACCCATTGGCGTGAGCTAACTGCTCTCCAGTGGTCAATCCCGACGAGGCCTCGCCGTTTTGGGCGTTGAGGCAGCCCAGATCCGGACCCTGTGACGACGACGACGGCGGCGGCGGCGGTTGTTGCTGACCCCCTCCTGCTCCGTTGGCCTGCATGGCGCTGCCGCTGGCTCTGAGGGGGGTGGCAGCCGGGGGGGCAAGCCCGCAGGAGAGCGAGGGGGATGAAGACGAGGTGAGGCCTGCTCTGCCCGCGGAAGCCCCGGGCTCTCCTGCTCCCTCCGCCGCCGCCGCCGGGGAAGCCCGCGCTTTCTTCCGCGGTGGCGGGGAGGCTCCGCCGGTGTCCGAGTCGGAGGAGGAGGAAGCGGAGGCCAGAGTTTCCTCGCCGAGAGCGGCCGTGGTGGGAAGCCGGGGGGGGGGGAGTGAGGAAGGGGAGGAGGGGTAGGGTGGGATGGGGGAGGTGGCGGGGTAAGGAACGGGGAGCTGTTCCTCTCCCCGGGGTTCTTAGACAGCAGCAGCTGCTGCTACCCTTTCTATGGTCCCGCCAGGGAACGCGGCCCGAAACAGCCCCCGCCTGGCAGCCCAGGCACACAGCCCGTTCCTCTCCACTCGCTGGTCGGTTTGAGGCTCTTCTGCCTAGCTGCAGCCTAATGGAGTCTGGGCCGGGACGTCACAGGAAATTCCTATACTGCCCCTTCACTCACTTCCGCCGCCGCCGCCTGGGGTAGGCTTCGGGGTACGGCGGCGGAGGAGCACGGGACGGTCTCTACAGCACTACCCCCTGGGCGGGCGCAGACCCCCGACTCAGAAGGCTTTTGTCATAACACCTGCCGGGGGAGGGGACTTCCTGGCGATGATTCGGCTTGACTCGCTTCAGATGTCCATATAGGGAGTAGGGAAAGGCTGCAGGTAGATATACTAATAAATGGTATACTCACTTGGATCTCTTTCTAAAATAAAAAAATATTCTTTTTCTGAGGCTCTGTGGTTTCAGATTTTGAATGTCCTTCTATATTATCCAGATTCAATATAAGATCTCCTTCCTGAATAATAAAAAGTCTTGTGGCTCAACTCCTTTATTTTTAACTAGCCCAGACTGACATGGCTCCTCTCTTTAAAATGGCCTCAGCGCGTTCTTTTGTATTTAGTAAATAAATATTGAGATGTTGTGCGGTGATGTTTGTAAAACATTATATAGCTTTTCCAAAGTAGCAGAAGAAAAACCTTTCCCCCTTTATCACCATCTATACAATCAAAACAGTGCTACTCATTTGATAGGTTAGATATAGCAAGCTGTTATCAAGCCTGGCACAGCTGTAGAAAACAACTTTTTTCATTTATTTCCAAAAGAGAAAAAAAATCAGGGTGTGAGGTATTGTAGGAGAATTATCGTAACCTTTAAGAAAAAAAATACGATATTTAAAATACATTGGTAAAAGCTTAACAATATGGACCTTTCTGTAGGGCAGATAGGCAGCCTGAGCTGTTTACTTTCTCTTTAAAAATTAAATAGTTCTATAATAGCACAGTTTGCATGACATATTAAAGCATAATATAGTACCATATTTTCCCCCCTCCATCCACACATACATAGACACTCCTTGTGCTACTCTCGCCCCCTACTAAATCACTCCTTTAAATAGGGTAAAAGGCTTACTTAACACTTATTACCTTGTGTAAATTCAAAAGCCAGTTGTGGAACATTTGGCCTTGAGTCCTAGAGGAAAGATAGAATATAAATTCAATAAATTAATAGATGGCAGCCATTCTAGATTTACTTAACACAATTAGCCTAAGGTATGCTTTTTAATCACAGTGAGGAATAAGAAACTGCATGTATGTTTTTATTCATCAGGTTGATTTGCTCAATTTGTCCTGTCAACTACAGTAGGACAAGCAGTGCTAGATCATATTATGGTACTCAGGAACAGCCTTTCTGTCTTCCAAGTTCTCTGATTCCATTTCAAGCTAGGTTGATCCAGGTTGGTTTGATTGTAGACACAGAGGCTTAGAGCATGGGAATGTTTATCCTTTTTAAGTATACAGAGCACTCTAAAAATTAAAGCCAGTTAGTACTTGCCTTTTCAGGCCTGTAACTGAACACAGAGAATCATGAGCCAATCAGTACTCACTTAACTGCCAATTGCTCAGAATATCATCCTGTTCCTGAGTATTGCACCTAAAAATACATCCCTTCTTAAACACAAACATACACAGGGAGAAAATTGCTAGCATTTATGTGACAAAACCTCATTTGCCTTTCAAGCTCCTTAGGCTGATTTAAATACTACTCTTTATGTTAGTCCCATGCCATCATACCACCATAGTAAAGTTATAGGAGGGCCTGGGAAAAAACATCAAACTAAGCATCCCTTATAATACAGTTATAAAAATTAGGATCATTCCAGTTTTTTGCAATACAGGTCTGATAACCAACCACCAATGGGAACACAGACCACTCCTTAAAATACAATGTAGTCATATGCTATAGCTTCCATAGGGGCCATTTCTGCTTAAAATGTTATTTCGTCATCAGTGAATAGAACACCATGAATACAGGAATAATTCAGTAATAATCACAATCAGATATATTGTGGTCACCCATTATTGGATTTGTACCCGTCTGGAAGAATCTGTGGTCTATCTAGCATTCTTTCCTTGCTGAGATTGACTGAATGCCTTTGGAAGTTTACAGTAGACCATGAGTATATGTACAGCCTCTTATGTATTTCCTTACAACTAGTATTGAGAGGCATACAGTTTCCAATACTTGACATATAATGATTAATCATATATGATAAGTTGCCATTGATAGCTTCTTTATTAATTTGTTTATATTTTTAAAAGTACCATTATGCCTGGAAAATGTAGTAAAATCTTAAACAATTTCATATGTGATATAATAGTGTACACAAGAAAGAATAATTAGATATTATTATAATTCCAGGCATTATTCAGTTCATAATCATTCTCCATACAAAACATGTCCTCTCTGACAAAGTATTAATGATTTGCTGACTGTTTATTGAGTGAAAAATAAGAATATAAAATATGTAAATTCCACAGAATATATAGTAAATGTCTTCTGCTGTGTGTGCTGCTAAATGATGCTTGAAATACCATGCCTAGCTAAAAGTTCAGAATTATACAGAATGTGTAGACAATAATGTCTCCTCTTTGTAACTCTTTTGTATTTTCCTACCACATTCCCATTCTTTCTCGATACCAGAAATAATCTGTTAAGAAAGAAGAAAAAAGAAACAGTGACAAAATGCCTTTAAATTCTTGTGTAATCCTTAGTTGTACTAATTTCCAAAAGACTACAAGCACTGCCACATCACCAGCATTTCCACACTTTAATTCCCTACAAAGCAGTTTGAAACTACATGAAAAGAAATTAATCTAATCAGTCTCCTGCTCCAGTGTCACTTCTATCCCATAAAAAAGGGGGAAACAAAACAGGACTACGACTCTCCTCTCTCATGCTTTCCAGTATATGTATTTGCATAAATTTGGTGGCTGAGAAGGGCTACAATGAGAAGTTATGCAAAGAAAGTTTTTATTTATAACAAAAACCAGTAAAAGTTTATCTTTTCCAAAGGCTTCCCAGCTGCTTTGCTATCATTTTTCTATGTTTAAGAGCCTAGCTAAGTTGTGAAGGTAAAAGAATAGTATATCAGCAATTTTATCATCTGCTAATTCCTGTATAACTGTATGCAATGTTGAAATTACCGCAATGGCTTTGGGATGTGTGTTTGGGTCTATCAGCATATAATCAGTTCTAACCAATATTAAGATAGAAATATAATGCTGAAATCCTGGGGGTGGGGTGAGGTGGGGGAGAAAGAGGCACTAATAAGTGACTTAAGCTCCAGAAGGTGACACAAGGCAAGGATGATCACCAAGACAGAAATTGACTGTCTACAGCATTTTCTAGGAAAGTAGAGCAGAGTCAGAAATAAACTGATTCAGCTTCCCAAATAGACATTGGGATTGGTCTAATCTGGATTGATCTCACAAAGTGGAACCTACCACTGGTGAAGAAATTCCTGTGCCTAAACAAGATATAGCTAAAGTTAGCCTGTCTGGTTCACTTATCATATTAAGGCAGAAGCCTGGTTGCTTAATTTTAGCTTAGAATATAGTGCATACCCTATCATCATAGAAACATAAAATATAGAAACATGGAACCTAGAAAACTGGGTATTTAGCCAGGATGAGCAAAATGTTTGTGGCAGGAGATGCACTTATTTTTTTGGGAAAAATGAATATTTGTGGTATTCATTGATAAACCTACAATCACAATATTTTTTCTGTTGTCTTTCCTTATGTTTCTTCCTATTGTTTTTTTCACATAATAAAACTAAATATCAAAAAGGTTTTAAAATGGGATTATATTATTTCTCTTCAGCAAAAATTCCAATACATTTTTATAAGATATATGTGTTATTCACTGCGCTTTATCTAATCCAGTGGTGGCGAACCTATGGCACGTGTGCCACAGGCGGCACGCAGAGCCGTCCATATGGGCACGCATGCAATCACCCTGGAGGGAGGCAGGGCCAGACCGCTCCCTTCCGTCTCTCCATGTGCGTCTGCGCTCTCGGCTCTCTTTCTCTGCATTGAGAGCCTGGGCTGGATGGTGGGAAAAGGCCTCTGTTGCCTGGATCGCCGCCGTTTCCCCCCACCCACCGTGCAGATTGCACTGCTACTTTCTCCCCCTGCCGCATTTTCCAGGTCTCCGGCGCCCGCATCGAGCCGCTGAAGCATCATACAATCACTCCATGGCCATGGATGTGAGTTCCAGAGACTTTGAAAACACTTCTGCTGCCCAGATCGGCCGGGGGGGGGGAGCAAAATTGCTGTACAGCCCTAGATCTGGGCGGCAGAAGCAGCAGAGAGAAAGAAAGATTGAGCCAGCAGGGAAGCAAAAGTATCAGGAAAGGAAAGCATTGCAAAGTAAGCAAACTTACAGAAAGGGGATCTCTTTCTCTTTCTCTTTCTCTCTCTCTCACACACACACACGCACCCCACCCCCTTATTAATCATTTCTTCCCCCACCCCCTTTACTATCATGTTTGGAGACGCATCCTAGGCTCGTCTTCCCAAACTCCAAACTTGCGTGTCCTACTTTCCTAGTGAGGGAAGTTAGCCCAGAGAAAGAAATATTAAAAAGGGCAGAAATATATATTTTTCCTCAAAAGGACTTTTTAAAACCAAACCTGGCCCCAAATCTATCTCTCTGCCCCAAGCAAGAGCTAGGCCCATAAAAATGCAGATGTAAAACCATCAGAAAGTTGGAGCCAGAGCAATCAAGAAGACAAAAGAGAAGATCTGCATACCCCACCCAAACTCTAGGAGTCAGCCCCATCACCTGGGAAGCAGGATATGATAATAGAATTAAACCACAGATATCAAGGCCTAGACAAACACTCAGAAACAGCCTCAAGATTCATGCCACAGGAACAGGAAACTATTCCAAACAAAAGGCTAGGGGGGTATAAAACCTACTGCCCATGTGCTCAATCTCTCTCTTCTTCTCTCCTCTGTTCTTTCCTGAAGAACCATCTTTCTGCAATAAACTGTAACCTTCTTCCCAAAGCAGTCGCCATGTTTGCTTATTTATTTCTGGCTTGGATGAACCAGGATGAAGACTTACTTCTAACATTAGCTTGCCTTCTCAAACTCCAAATTTGCGCGTCCTACGCTCGCCTTCCCGAACTCCAAACTTGCACACGCGTCCTATTTCCCTCCTCCTACTCCAGTTTGGAGTTTGGGAAAGTGAGCGAGGAAAGTAGGATGCGTGAGTTTGGAGTTTGGGAAGGCGAGCAGAGTCTTAATATAAAAGGCTGGTTTGTTGTTGTTGTTAATTGCGAAGTCGTGTCCGACCCATCGCGACCCCATGGACAACGTTCCTCCAGGTCTTCCTGTACCATCTTCTGGAGTCCATTTAAATTCACACCTACTGCTTCAGTGACTCCATCCAGCCATCTCATTCTCTGTCGTCCCCTTCTTCTATTGCCCTCAATCTTTCCCAGCATTAAAAGGCTGGTTATGCTTTCAAAAAAAGAGAAAGGGAGGAAAATTATTGGGCTGCTTGCATCATCCCTGCTTGAAGCCATCCTTTGCAACAAGGAAAAATCTAATCTATCCAACGCTACCCAACATTTCAATCTGTGTGCGCCGAGAGGGCAGCTATTTTTAAGACACCAGTCCTGCACATCTATATCTAGGAATAAATCTCATTAAACTCATGAGGCTGTGAAACACAGAATGAAACTCTCTCTCCCTCTCTCTCCCCCCCCCTCTCTATCTCTCTTATCTTTTGCAAAGTGGAGTCTTCTTCTAGGCAACCTGCTGCTTACTTTGGATTGGTTTCCCTACGTGTCTAGAAAATCAGTACAGGTCCTGAAATCCAGTATTTATTTAATGAATTAATTTTATTTTTATTGATATCTGGCCTATAATATTTTTATAAATAGCTCAAGGCAACAAACATATCCAACATACCTTTGTCCTCCTATTTTCCTCACAACACACCTGGGAGGTGGATTGGGCTGAGAGAGAATGACTGGCCCAAAATCACCCAGCTGTTTAATCCTCTATCACAGAGCCTTTTCTGTGGGCATGCGCAGCATGAACAGGGTGAGCGAGGAAAGTAGCACACGCGTGTTTGGACTTTGGAGAAAGGGGGAGAAAGAGAGATAGAGGAAGGAGGGAGGGAGAGAGGAAGAAAGGAGATGGGAATGAAAAGGAGGGAGGCAGGGAAGAGGGGAGGGAGGAAGGAAGGAGGGGGGAGGGAGGCAGAGAGATTGGAATGAGAGGGAGGGCCTGAGGAAAGTCCTGCCTTAGCACTTGGCCACCAGCACCCCTGTGGCCCTTTTGCCATCCCCTGGTGGTCTCCCATTCTATTGCTGAGGATGCTTTGGTTACAAAGCCAGGTCTCCTCACATGGAGAGGGAATGGACTTCCCTCTGACCCATGCAATTTGCCCTTCTGCACTCACCATGCAGTTGGACACCCCCTCAGGGAAATGCGGCTAGGTTAGGCAGGACTGTGGGGTCCTGGTGCCGTGGGAGCTCAAGGGCCAGGCTGGGTGCTTGACCTCCGCTGCCCAGGGCTCCAGGCAGTCCGTGCCACTGTCCATGGGTCCCCTGCATTGCCTGAGGTGCAGTGATGCTCCTCCAATGGACCATCCCCCGGCGCTTGCCCCAATCCCACCCACCCCTCCGCCGGAGACTCTCAGATCTGGCCCAGTCCTGCCCAGGCCCGCACAAGTGCCCCCTATGTGAGTGACAGTGAGATGGCCATGCCCACCCAGTAGGCCACACCCATGCCAACCACGCTCACCCAGTAGTGGGCCACGCCCACCTAGTGGGCCACGCCCATCTGGCACCCAACGATAAATAAGTGGGGTTTGGTTTGCAGTTTGGGCACTCAGTCTCTAAAAGGTTTGCCATCACTGGTCTAATCCCACTTTATAAAATATGATTACTTGCAGTCTCCTTAAATAATAGAACTTCAGGGACTAGTCCAGGCAGTTGCCAAGAGTCAAAAACTGACTCAAAGGCACACACACTTAAATAATGCTTTCAATCTCAATGGAGTGCAGTTGTCTTTCTCACTTCCACCAATCTATTATTGTGGGTAGCAATCGCAGCCATCATGTGTTGTCTACATCATAAAAAAGATTTGTCTTCAGATTTGAAACACTGTAAATATAAGACTATGTCTTGTATCACATTGGCTGATACATTGAGCTTTATGTGTATTTTAATCATAATAATATATAATAATATATAGGCAGATAGGCAGATATACAACGAATAGTGTGTCCATTACTATTTTAAAAAATGTTCCATTTATTGTTGGATACGTCATTAATCCTCACCAAAGTAGCTTTCTATTTAATTGATTATTTGTGCTACATTATTTTTTTTAATTTGATGTTTATTTAATATTAGCAAGATAGTAGGTATCACATTACTTTTGTTCTACTATAAGATAAGAGATTGTGAGTTATGTCATTGATATCATAAGCACAAATTAAACTATATTTAGAGAGTTGCTATGTGTATCACTAATCACATTGCACTATATTTGTACCACATCACTAAAAGAGTTCGGGACATTTTAGCTTTCTAGACAGCATTTTCTCTTCAGTCCTGCAAATCAGTGTTATGTAGGTAACAGTATTCCCTGTAACAATTTTTTGGAAACGAAATATGGACTTGAAGAAGCAGGATAGGAAGAGTATTTATTCTTTCAACTTTGATTTTGGAGAAGATTCCTGATAATAACGGAATAAGAGAGTTGGAAGGGACTAGAAGATATTCTAATCCAACTCCCTGCTCATGGCTAGACAAGAAAAGAACAAATTCATGTAGAACAAATCAATATTCTCATTCAAGGCACAAATGACCATATTCAAATTATCAAACGGCTCCCTTGAGAAGTCTATAAAACTGACAAAGGTGGAAGCAGAAAGAAAAGACCACCAGCAAAATGGATGGATTCAGATATAGTGCACTATTGAAAGATCTGAAGGTCTAGGTTGGGACAGATTATCCTGGAGAAAATATGTCTAGGTGGTCACTAAGACATTGACTTGATGGTGCATAATCATCAGGCAGGTTCATAGGTTTTATATTTTCATTTTTTTATTTGAATCACAAAATATTACAGATCAATCAGTGAAGTCACAAATTTACTGTTAAGTTTTATTTTGAAAGCTAATTTCAATTATGTTCAGCTAGGACTTAGAAAAATATTGTTAAAATATATTTGAAAGGTATATTCTAATTC